TTTTTTTTTTTTTAATAAATCGCTGATATTTTATGTGTAAAAGAGCATAAAAAAACCCTGCTATAATGGACCTGGATTTTGTTTACATAATTCACTGTAATAAATAATAAAAGAAAGCAATTAGTTGCATCCCACGATGGCACTGCCCGTTCCTGCCGGCGCGGGGGAGGTGATGCCCAGAGGGATCAGTGTCCCGATATCCCAGTTATCCCGGTATCCCGGTATCCCGGCTGCTGCCCCCGCTCTCCCACCACGGGGTGACCCCGGCGCCGGTAACGCGATTAAAGCGGCGGCTGCGTTAAAGCCTCTGTCGTCAACACAAATCCCACCGCCAGCGTCCGAGCGCAGAAAAGACTCGGCCACGAGCCGCTGCCGTGTAATGGATGGTCAGTGCATTTTTATTTAATCAGCACAGTACAAAAATAAATAAAAATAAGGGGAGGGGATTAAATTACAGGCACACTGAGCCCCATGACACAGTCGGTCGGGTTATAAACCACACATACTTACAAACACACTATACACATACATACAAAATGAGACAAATATAAATTAATAAGTAACAATACCCACCAATTTGGTCAACAAAGATCTACAGAAGAGATTGCACTAAAAAAACGTACGTACACATGTATCATTAGCAGGGTCCAATGTACAGCCATGAAGAGCTTCAAGTGAAAAATCAAAAATAAAAATAAATGGCACGTTATTTCTCCCTCTTGTTCGCCAGTTTAACGCCCGATGGACCAGAACTAAACTAGAACTGAGCACACGGAGAAAAGAAAACGATAAAACCCAAAAAGAAGGTCTCAGTCCCCAGGCCTGATACGGGAATACCGGCTCGAGACTGCGGTGTCGGGGTGGTGGCGGGTCTTTGTGCATGGGTGTAATTTTACAGCCATCTCTCGTTAAGGTTTTTCTTTTGATTATTATTTTTTTATGCGTTTTTTCCTTTTTTTTTTTTTTCCCGAAGACACAAAATGCTCCTGTTTGCATGCGCAATACCACTGGAAAAGCAACAATGACAGAAGAAAGAAGGGTTTTTTTCTCTTTCCCCCCCGCAGGTTTGCAGTTCGTTGGGTTTGTTCTAGAAGAATTCATATAGCAGCATGTGGCGGCTCCCCTTGCTTGCACACTCAAGTAGATCCTTTACACAATACTCATGACCAGTGCACGATGGGAACAAGACATTTCACATTGATCTCATGAACAGTAGCGGTGATTCCCGTCACCCGGACCCGCTCGGGAATTCGAGTCTCTTCAAAGAAAATAAATAAAGGGGGGGGGATGAGGGAAGAAGGGGGGTCGGGGGGTCCCCGGGCCGTGCCCGCGTCTCTGTCCCGGTGCTGCCGGTGAGTCCCGACCGGGCCGGTTCAGCCGCCGGCGCTGGAGCCTTTACAGGAATTTTTTTCCTTTTTTTTTTTTTTTTTTTTTTTTCCCCTACCTGGGCTCTGTCTCGGTGATGCAGTGACCGGCGGAGCCCCGCTCCGCTCCCGGGGGATATCGGCTGGGGAGGTTCTCGTCCCCCCATCCATGAATTGCTGGGATCAATCCGGTGGCGGAGCCGCAGCATCCCCGGGCCCGCAGCATGGGGAGGGGCGGCGGCTGGAAAGCGGCGGCGCGGGAGGGAACCGGGGGTCTGCGCTCCGGTCCGGCGGCGGCCGAACGCCCCGTGTCCCCCCGGGGGGGGAGGCGGCGGCTCCCGCCCTTCCCCGCCGGGCAAATCCCCCCGGGAGCGGCTCCGGGCCGGGCGGGCGCGGTGTCCGGGGGCGCGGGGGGCGGCGGGCGCTCACCGGTCGAGGCCGATGAGCAGCCGGCCCTTCTCCTCGGAGCCGCTCTCCTTCTTGAGGTCGGCGAAGACCTGGGTGAAGTAGTGCGGGTCGGCGTTGACCTGCAGCATCTTGGGGCTCATGAGGTCGATGATGGAGAGGCAGCGGTCCCAGAAGGCCTCCTTACAGCTCTCCACCAGGAAGGGCTTCAGCGGGTAGGAGATCTCGTTGCCCATGTAGGAGTAGGAGAGGTACAGGCAGGTGAGCAGCACTGCCTGCAGTTCGTGGTCGCTGGCCACCTCGGCCGAGATGACGTCCCGGCACAGCATGTAGAGGAAGACCACGTTGGCCGGCGTGATGAAGCCCTGGTCCTGCCAGCCCTGCAGCAGCAGCGAGCGGTCCACGGAGCGCAGCCAGAGCACGGGGTCGGTGGGCGAGAGGTGCTTCAGGCGGTAGCAGCGGCGGCACAGGAACTCGCCGAGGCAGCGCAGCAGCTCGCTGGTGGACGCCTGCACCACGACCCGGCGCGGGGTGGCGGCGGCGGCGGCGGGCGCGGCCGGGGGCGCCTTCTGCGCCGAGGCGAGGGCGGGCGGCGGGGGGGCGAAGGTGGCGAGGTTGGCGCAGGAGAGCGATTTCTTCAGGTTCTCGTTGTTGAGGTGGGTCACGTTGCTCTGGTAGCCGCCGTTGGGCTGCACCTTCTTGGAGCTCTTCTTCTTGGCGGAGACGGCGGCGATGCGCTTCCAGGGCAGCACGGAGATCAGCGAGTGCCGCTTCAGGCCCTTCTCCTTCGCGTTCTTGCTGTTCTGCACCGCCGTGTAGTGCCCCACCGTGGCCGCCCCCTCCTCGAACAGCGGGGCCTTCCGGTAGCTCGGCGACAGCGACAGCACCGTGCCCATGGCGCCGGCCGCCCGGCGGGCGCCCGGCGGGCCCAGGCCCCGCCTTCCACTGTTTATGAATGACGGGAGTCCCGCCCCTCCACTGCCCTGGCCCCGCCCCCGGCCCCGCCCCCGGGCGCTGCCCGCGTTGGGGTCCCGGAGGTCGCGGACCCCGCGGAGCCGCCGAGCCCCCGGGCAGGGCCGAGCAGGACTGGGGGAGCTGCCGAGCCCTCAGGCAGGGGCTGGACCCGACACGGAGGGGAAAAGAATAAAAAGAAATGAAAACAATTTCTTTAAAAATCCCAAAATTAAGATTTAAAACCCTTCTCCACCGGCATCCCGGAGCCGCAGCCCGGATTCGCACCCGGGCCCCACACCCCGCCCCGCCCCCGGCCGCTCTGCGCCCCCGCCCGGCGGTGCCTGCCCAGCTGCGGGCCGGGGGCCACCACTCGCCCCCGAGGTACCGAGGCAATGAAATGCCCGGTACCGCGTTCTGAGGCCGGGCCGGGCTCTCGGGAACGCGCCTGCAGCTCCCGTACCCCCGGTACGCTTGGAGCCGCCGCCCGCGCCCAGCCCAGCGCCCCGTGCCCGGACCGGGCTCCCATTCCCGCTGTGACCGGGATCCCATTCCCGCTGTGACCGGGATCCCATTCCCACCGGCACCGGGATCCCATTCCCGCTGTGACCGGGATCCCGTTCCCGCTGGCACCGGAGCCGCGCAGGCTCTGGCGGGAGGCACCGGGCAGCACCGGCCCCGCCGGGCTCTGCGCGACCTGCAGCGACACTCAGAGGCCGCTCCGCCGCCGCCGGGGCCGCTCCGGCCGCGGAGAGCCGAGCCGCCCCCGGGGGGACCCTGGGGCCCAGGAAAGCTCGGGCACATCCCGGCGCTAATGACCCAAATTCATTTCGATTCATTTTTAACTACTTATGCCCTGCCCCGGACCTGTGGCTGCCAATCCCACTCCCACAGCAGGGAAATCTCAAAAAAACCCCAAAATCTCCCATGAGGACAGACCTGTCCCAAAAACCTGCCTGACCCTCAGAGCACATTCATCCTCCTGTGCAGCCGGTTTTTGGGGAGTGGTCAGGGCTCTCTGCAGGGCTCTTGCCTCTCAAAAGCACGGGGACAGCGACAGCCCAGCCTGGGCACCGCTGTCACTGAGAATTCCCTTTGTCCATTAAAACATCCCCCACATCCAAGCAGTATTTGTCAGCTTTTAGGTTCAGCCTTATGAAGTTTAAGCCAAAACGGTTTAAAAACAGGCTCTACAATTTGAGGGGTTTGGGGCCTAATTTTAGCATGCTCGGAGGTGCCTCAGAAAACCCTGCTGTTCCGAGGGCAATTCCAGGGACTGATGTGTCACTGAACCTCCCTGGACACACAGGACAGAAGCTGGAGGAGGGCAGGGTTAGGTGGGAGATTGGGAATGAGGAATTGTTCCCTGGCAGGGTGGGCAGGCCCTGGCACAGGGTGCCCAGAGCAGCTGGGGCTGCCCCTGGCTACCTGGCAGTGTCCAAGGCAGGTTGGACACTGGGGCTGGAGCAGCCTGGGACAGTGGAAGGTGTCCCTGCCATGGCAGGGTGGCACTGGGTAGGGTTTTTGGTGCCTTCCAACCCAAGTTCTTCTGTGACTCCCCATCCATCTCCACCCCAGCCCCTGCCAGTCCCTGCTCCACCTCTGCTTCCATGAATGGATTTCCCTTCATTCTCCCACAATTAGCACCTAATTCAGGAAATCCCTTCCAAATGACACATCCCTGGGGAAAATACCACTTCAGGGGCATCACAGGGAACTGGACAGAGATGTCAGGGGAAGAATCTCAAGAATGAGAGCTAAAAAAATGAACTATTAAAACTAGAAATGCACTTCTCTGCTGCCTGAGATGTAAGAACAGAGTGAAACACTTCATTTTCCTGCCTCTGAGGGCAGGTTTCTTTCCTGCACCACCTGGTGTCTCAGGAATTTCAGATGTAAAAATTCAAGATGTATCAAAGACACCCTAAACCTCCACCCCAGCCTTTCAAGGGCCTGGCCTGGTCCAGTGTGAGACTCCAACATGGCATAAGAGCATGATCAGGAAAGGCTGGAGGGGTGAGAGGACATTCAATCAAATTTTCACCATAATAATAGTGCTAATAATAGTAATTATTATTATACATTGAGTGCACTAGAACTTGTTGTGCCAGGGTTCATAAATCTTTCGTGATGCCACCTCAAATATTCACATCTGGTGTCTCCAAAATACAGTCCCCAAGGATGCTCTGGTGAGGGATGATCCCATCCTTCCTTAAGTGAAGGGAGAAGCTGCACCAAGCCCAGGATCAGCCCTGGTGGCTGAAGACAGGAGACAGAAGCTTTTGAAAAAAAAATTCTTTATTGGAACTCATCTGAACATCAGATATACCTGGTGTTGGTTAGCAAGAACCGTTTGTACATTTGATATTGATGGTGCCAAAAACCCAAACAGCGACTGACTGGAGGAGATGGAAATTAAGAATAATAAAATAAAATAAAAAGTTGGAGAGGTCAAAAAGTGAACAGAAAGGGGAAAAATCAGCCAGTCTAAGAGTCAGCATGAAGGCAAAATATTTCCTGATAAAACAGAATCCTTTTACAAAATATAAATTTTGTAAGAAAAACGTGAAGAAGGAAATAGAGACAGAGGGGAAAGGAAAAATAAAGATGAGCAGGACAGAGATGCAGAAGCTTACACTGCCCAAATGGCGTTAAAACTTACTGGAAACCTCACCAGAAAATGGAACATGCTGGAACACACCATGCTCCGCCCCCAGGACTTTGGGACCGAGGAGGAAGCTCCCACCGGGCTGTCCCACCTCGCGTGGGGAACCAGAGCTCAGCGCTGCTGCAGCAGAGGCACAGCTGGAGTCAGCCCCGGTCACCTGCTCCTCCTACCAGCGCAGGTGGGGAGGGAGGAAACATTGAAAATCTAAGTCTATCTGCAAACAAGAGCATGCAAGTCAGGCTCCAGGGAAAGCTGCGCCGTCCCCTTCGCCCGGGGCTGCGCCGACGGCTCCAGCCCGCAGGAAAATCATCGCGGAGCTGCTTCCAGGGGGTCGGAGGCCTTGAGGATGGAAAAGAAACCAGCAGTCTGTACATTTGGGGTTTGTTTGGTTCAGTACAAATGGAATCAAGTTGGCTGCTCAGACACCGCCAGCATGTCTCTGATTTCGGGGCGGAGCAGATGAAACAAACTGGTTTTGGGCACCTACTGGTAACAAAACGCTGTCCCTGCTGAACTCTGCCGTCCCTCAGGAAGTGGAAAGCACATGTTTAGGTAGTGTAAGCCTTTTTCCTTTTATTTAGAATACCCTCTTTGTTTAAACAATATTCCCCCCCCAGATACAAAGTTCGGCCAGTAAAGATTACATGGAAACTGGAACACGCATCGTCTGGAATACAAGATGCACCGGATGAGGAAGTTTAAAAACTTTCCGAGCGAAAAGTAGAACAAAGAAGAAAAAAAAAGTCTCCTAACATTTTCCCAAAGGTTTCACTCTCCTGTCACACACACTCTCCAAATGACAGCTAGCAAATTCAACTCTGCAAAGAGAAAACAGAGCCACGTCACTCGACAGGAGAGGGGACGAGGCTCGGGGACACGGCGGGGCCCGGCAGCGACTCCGGAGCTCTGCGGCCCCCAGGGAGGCCCCACTCACCTATGTCAACTTCTTGGCTTTGTTGTAGAGCGAATCCACTACTTTGCTCATGTTCTGAATCGTCTCGAGGGCAGCCTCGTAAGTTTTGTCTACGGGGGGTTCGTCGAAGATGATCAGGACACCCTCGCCCTGGTCAAGGATTCCTGTGGGCACAAGCTGCTGTGAGCACGGGGATGCTCAATGGATTACAGCTTCCAGACAGCAGGAATTTAGGGATCTACCCCAGAAAAACCCCATCAGCTCTGCAGGGTTTGGGAAGGGCTCACATGTTGGGCTGGACTGGCTGATTTTGGTCAGGACTGCTTTAGCACTCCCAGAAAAAAATACATCCCAGAGAACAGCCTGAGAAGCCACCCAGGAGATGAGCATTGCTGCCCATTCCCTACCACCTCCCTGCCTCCTCAGGCCCTGTGCCCAGCAGGATGGCTCAGCACAGCTGGTTTATCCTGCAGCTGTGCCCAGGTGCCAGGTGGGCTCTGTCCCCCCACAGTGCTCTGTGCCCAATGCTGCTCCCAGGCATTCCCCTGGCTCAGCCACACCCAGGGACCACAGAACCAAGGGGACAACAGAACCAAGAGCACAGCTGGTTCCCTCAGGGTTAGTGGGGCAGCAGCCTGCTGTGGGCCCAGCCAAGCCACAGCACCCCCTGGGCCATGTGGCATCCCCACGGAACACTCTGGACACAAACAGCTGGGAAAGGTCACCACACCCCTGGGCAGCTCCAAGAGGGAGAGCCCAGCCTGGCCAGACAGCCCAGCTGGGGGTCCCACACGGTCCCTGGATGCTGTCACAGCAAGAGGGACCCAACAGCATTTCTGAAATTAACCCTCAGGTTAAGGAAGGCAGATGGAACAGCAGGAAGAGCCTTCCTGACTGTCCCCTCCAATGGAGCAGCAGGAACTGCATTCCTGTCACTCCTGACTGTCACCTATGACAGAGCAGCAGGAACAGCATTCCTGTCACTCCTGACTGTCACCTGCACCTCTGCTGCCTGAGCAGGACCCCCAGGTTCAGAGGAGGAAGGGGACTCCAGCCACAGCTCGTGCAAACACGGGGCAGTCAGAGCTGAGGGATGCAGACTCACCATGAAACTTCTTGTCCAAGATCATCTGTGACAGTTTCCTTTCTACCTCAGCCTGAAAGTGAAGCAGAAAAATTAAAAGTCTCCCAGAACACGTAAAACCACGTGAATTTTACTGCTGCACCCTTGACAGCCCTGCTGGGACATGAGCACTGCCCAGCAGCAGCTGCTCCTCCCTGAGCCTGGCTTGGACACCACCACCTGCTGGAGATGCCTCAGGAAATTAGAGAAATATTAATGAGGGAGCAGCAGGATGTCCCTTAGCCCACAGGTGACACTGTATCTGTCACTTCACACAGGCTTCACCGGCAGGGGTTCTGGAACTTTCTAACTCAGTTCAGCAAGGATTTAGACAAGAATGACCAAGTTCTATTTGATAGGATAATAAACAGAACTTGGCCAAGTTCTATTTGATCCACCCTGCTCGTGCCCAGCAGCAGGAAGGCCCACAGGAGGCAGCTGCTCTCTGGGCAGAGGGGGCACAGAGCAGCTTTCAGCCTGAATATTGAGGATGTGTTAAACACCACAAGCTGGGTGCAGACTGTGTGCCAGGGGAGGTTTAGGTTGGATATTAGGGAAAATTTCTTCATGGAAAGCATTGTCCAGCCCAGGGTTGAGGTGAAATCACCAGATTTAATAGATTTGTGGATGTGGCACTTGGGGACATGGGTGGTTTTGGCAGTGCTGGGGGAATATCTGGACTCAATGATCTCAGAGGTCTTTTCCAACCTGAATGACTGGGTGATTCTGTGACCACAAAGGCTGAGCTCAGCTCACTTCCCAACCTCTGGCCTTAATGCCAGTACAAGACAACAGCACTGGGGTGCAACTGGCTGGGATTACAGTGGATTTTCCTAAAACTGAATCTGTCTGGGATTATCTGTAAAGCAGTTACTGCATAGTCAGTGTGACAGACACATCCCTAATGCCACTGCAGGGTGATTAGCTGGATCCTGGATCTTAAGGGTCTCAGTAAGGCTCCCCTGGGAACACTCAGGGCATGGGGGAAGACTGAGCTGGTCACGACAGACCAGAGGAACATCTGCCTCAAATAAAGAGCAAGAGCCAAGACAGGGAGTAAAACCCATGGGGAAAGGGGACAGCACAGCAAAGTCTGGAGCACAGGAAGCCTTGATGCCTCCCAGAAGCTGTCTGTGTCAGAGTTTAGTTCCCAAGGGTGAGATTTGCCTGGAAATGCTATGGATCTCATCTGTCACCCTTCATGTTCAGTTCCCAGTGATAAATGCCATTTAAGCCCAACTCCTCTGCCCTCTGAACACATGGCACTGATTTCTGGTGAGGTTCTTACCTTTGAGAGCTTGATGAGGCTGGATATGTGTTCAATCTATAAGAAAGACCAACATTCAGTTAATCTTAGCTTCACTTTGGACACACAACCCAGAGGTTTGGGGCTCTTCCATGGAACTGCTCAAGGGCCTGGAAATGCTCTGGCCTAAATATCTCCAGTGCCTTTCTCCACTCTGCAGCTTCAGGTCTCACATCTGATTTTAACTAAGATGGACTGGACCCCTAAAGCCATTTCACTCTTTCAAAGGTGAAATCTCTTCTCCAAGACTATGGCACAGAGGCCTTCAAAGCCAAATGCTGTCACCTTCAGGGTTAAAAGCCAGTCACCTTGCAGGGAGCACGAGAGAAACAGGAGGAAAGGGCAATGACTCTGGAATGTGGTTTTCCAAAGGTCCCCTCTGCCTCCTCCTTATAATTTTAACAGGATGAACCCTGAGCTCTGAAAGTGCTGAGCAGCTCAGAAATGTTCATATGGGAACAATCCCCTCACCCCCAGCAGAAGGGACAGAGGGACCAGCCCCTCCAGTGCTGCTGGAAACATTTACCTGTACTCTGGAGAAGGGTTCAATGACTCTGATCAGGTTCTGTTCCAATAAATTATCATAGAGCTTGGCCAGGTGAGTGTTTATGATGGGGTCGTCCCTGAGCTCCACCTTGTAGTCTGTCAGAGCCTGTGGGGACATGGTGGGAGGAAATAATTCCTGTAGCAACAGCTCCTCAAGGTCCTCTGAGGATGAGATCCCCTCCCAGCCCAGCCCCATGGCTAATCCAATCCCTAACTTAGCTAAAAGCTAGCAGGTCACAACAGCCCAGCAGCCTTTCCTGTTATCTCCATCCTGCAGGAGCTCAGAGCCCCAGAGCACGACAGGACTGGACCTGGCATGGGAATCCTCTCCCTGAGCTCTGCAGCATTCCTGCTGAAACTAGGAAGAATTTTAGGAAGATACACATCCCAGTGAACAGCACCTAAAGGAAAACTGCTTCTGATTTGGCTCTCCAAAAAGAGGAGAAAAAAAAAAAAAAAAGTGAAAAGGAAAAAAACTGGGTTCAAGCAAGTTTACCCCCCACGCACTGAAAACGCAACCAGTTGATTGTTGGGGGGTATTTCTTGATGCACTGTTGCTTTCTATCAGTGTTTCCATGGTTTCCTGCTGTGGGATGTAACAGCTTCTACAACATTCCAAACCTGGCATTTCTGACTGGTTTTTGCCCAGCCAGGGCCCATCTTCTGTGTCCCTGACTCACCTTTTCAAAATCTGCCAGCGACCGGTTCTTGCTGGCCTGTGCCACGCATTTTAGTGCTTCTGTCTGTGGGGAAAGAGAATCAGAGGGGATTATTTTCTTCTGGACTCTCCTCTCAGGGTGAACATGCCAACTGCAGTACCCTGGGAACGTGCTTAAACAGCAAACCAGGAATGTTCCTTGTCACTGCCACAGGCAGAGGGAGAGCAGCTGCTGAGGGGAGAAGAAGCCAGGCAGCTGCAGGACATGACCTGAAACATCTCCAGAGGGACAAAGCACCCGGGTCTGACAGCACCAGCTGCAGGCTGGGAGTGAGCTTGATGCTGTTTCTAAGGGAAGTGCACATTTTGGCACTTGCTTAATGAACATGGCCATTTTGGGCCCTCCAGCACAGCCCCTCCTCTGCTGAATGACAGGGGCAGGGCAGCAGCTCCTATGGACACCCCACCACGGACAGGATCAGGGATGAGTCTTCTCTACATGCCATAACTGCTGAAATGAAGCAAAAGCCTCATCCCCAGACAAGCCCATTTACACCTCCCAGTGGTAATCCCAGCAGGGAACAGCAGAACAGAGCCCAAGGAGGGGGGCAGGACAAGGACAGCCTGATGTCTCTGGTGCACAAGGCCCAGGCTTCTGCTGCCCCCTCTTTTGGGACTGCCCTGTGCAGAGCCAGGAGCTGGACTGGATCCTTGTGGTCTTTTCCAACTGGGGATATTCCAGGATTGTCCCCAGGGCTGCTCTCTCCCTGCTCCCCATGCTGCTCCCCCAGCAGGAATTGCTGGTCAGGGCTGGCTCAAAGCACCGTGTGGGCACAGTCAGGATCCCCTGCTCCAGCTGCCACTCAGGGCAAAGGGATGAGGCAGGATTGGGGCTGCCCTTCTTGATCCAGGAGAGATATCCCCACGTCACACTTTGCTCACTGAGCTCTGCTAATTCCCAATCCCCTGAGGGCAGGGGAGCAGCAGCTCCTGCGTCACAGCAAAGGCCAGACTGAGCACAGCCCCTGAGGACAGCAGGATCCCAGCCTGGCCCAGCCCCTGGCACACCTGGAGTGTGGCCCTGCACCTTCTACAAGCACCCCTGAGTTAGAGGGTGGCCTTCTCTGCCTGGCAGGTTCACATGGCAGAACAAACAGGGGATTTCACCCCTCCCTGACTGCCTGGCTCCCCCCTCACAGCTACCCAGGCCTCCACCTGCTGAGCTGCACTGCCAGGAATGGATTCCCAGGACTGGCTGCAATGAAGTAAAAGCAGTAACTCAGATTTAAACATTGCAGCAGCTGCTGAGAGCAGGGAGACAAGGACCTGATGGCATCAAGCAGTTTGTAGCTGATGAAGAAAAGCAGGAAGGAGAAAAAAGGGAAAATGAAGTGAGCAGCCCAAATTCTCTGGTTGTGAAAATCACTGTAAAACCCTTTGAAGGCAACTGACTTCTGCCAATGACTCATGGTAATTTAGCCAGTTCTGGATCTCATTCAGGACACTCAGGAGAGATGGGTATTTTGGTATGAAAAGAGCAAAGTGTCTGACAAGAAGAACAAGCCAGCATTGAGGTAAGAGGTAGAAAGGGTTAACTTTCTATACCTGTCTTCCTGCATACCGCAGAGCAAGCTTCCCACTCACTAATGCTTGCACATCTTCCGGGCTGCAGACAGAGGGAAGGGAGCAGAGCATTTATACAGGAACACAGTCAGCTTAAACCCCAGAGCACCTCAAAAACCCCCAACTGACAGCACAGGACTATAACCCAAATATCACCACATCAGGAGCACTGATCAGGTGACAAAGCCACTGCTTGAGCCCATTAGTTCAGAGTCCCATCAACAAAAAGCCCTTCCCCTGGAAATGCAGGAAAAGTTCTTCCCAGAACCATCTGCCACCTGCCACCTACCTGTTGAGCATGATTTTGCACAGCAGCATGTATTTCAGAGCAGTGATGGCTTTGGGGTTGTCAATTGAATCATTGCCCTCAAATGCCTCATAAAAATATGAATAGGCTGTTTTCCAGTCCTTCTCTTCTGCTGCGTGGATAATACCTGGGAGAGGCACAAACAGGTTAATTCTGAGCATGACTGGGAGAGGACAGAATAATTTGGTTGTTCAGTGCTGTATCTATGACTTCAGTGAGGAGAAACCTTTCCTCCTGTGCCCCCCTTGCCTCATGTCTATCACAAGAAAATCCACACCCTCTCTTACAAGGACATTTTTAGACAGACAAGCTTGGGGCACTTCAGGTGAGTGCCTGCAAACTGGGTCAGGAACAACGTGTAATGGAACAGGAGCACAGTGTGAGGCTGGAACTGCAGTACCTGGGGAGCTTATGGACCCTCCAGCACTGGCAGCTTTCAAAACTGGGCTGAAACCACCAGTGTCAGGAACAATGCCATTGCAGCTGATGCCACCTGAGGCAGAACTGCTGCTATCCTGATGCCCCACCAAGCACCACTCCCCGTGATTCTCTCAGACAACACAAGTATCAGACAACTGATGTGTCAGGGCAAGCCCTGGGCGCTGTCCTGGACCTGGAGGCCTCACCTGACTGCATGTCCAGCGCTGCCTGCAGCTTGGGGGGACAGTAGATGGCATTGGCTGTAGTCCGGGCCGAGGTTAAGGCTGCTCTTGCTTTTGGCAGATTGCTCAGGGCGTGGTAAGTCTTGCTCTCTAGGAGCTGCACTTCCACCAGCAGTGCCTTGTCATCCATCTTCTTCAACTCCCGAAGCAGCTGGGAGCCTGGCAGAGGGCAAGGGCAGGACTGTGAGCTGCTCTGCATCAGCACCCACACAAACCATCCACAAAACCTCCACACAAAGCCTCTCCAGGGGCCATCTGTCCTCCCCCAGCAGCCAGGGCTTTCAGGGAGGGATGTGAGGCTCACACAACATGTCCTTCCAAGAAAAAGCAAGGGAAAGGGAATAATGGTGGGACACTGTCAGTCCACAGCAGGAGCATGAAGCAGTTTTGTGTCAGAGGTGGGGTGTGGGCAGCACAGTGTCCTGGAGGGGCTGGGCAGCTGGGATGGTCACTCTGGCACCCGTGCCCAGGTGATTTCCCTCTGCTGCACAACTGCCCCCTTGGCAGCATGGAGCATTCTCAGGAAACTCCTGAGAACGTGGGATGAGGAAGGAATGATTTCACACAGGACATCTGCAGGTCACATTTAGGAGGCAGGAAGGGACAGCCTAAGAAATGCCAGGACAAGCTGCTACATCACAGCCTTGTGAGGACAGAATGAGCAGTCCTAGAGGAAACTTGTCTCCTTCTTTCCCCTACTGAAGAGGTAATTTAGGGTGAGCAGAGACAAAATCCTCCTCTTCCCTTGCTGTGCTCAGGAGCTGATAACCAGAGCTGAAACTGCAGAACTGGGCAGAAACAAATAGATTCTCCCTGGAAACATCCCTGAGAGCCTCTGCCTGCACCTACTCCCCATGGCCACAGCACCTCCTCAGCCACACAGGAATGCTGGGCACAACACTGACATCCTGACAGAGCACCAGAGCCTGCCCTACAGGTACAGACCTTCCCAACTCCCCAGGCTGTCCCACCACCAGCCAAGGGATTCAATTAATTAAGCACAGGTTTGGAGTGTGGCCTCTGATCAGTTTAAACCTGAGTTCATTAGCTGTCCCTATGCAAACAAGTTCTAATTCCATCCTGAATTCCATGAACTCAACATTCTGATGAGATACATGTCACCCAGGGGATTCTGGACACGACACAGGCTCGTGCCACCACACAGGTTAACAAGTTCTGGTCCCAGGTGAGCAGTTCAGGCTGTGTCCATGCAGCTGCCCCTTAGCCCTGGTGAGCAGGCTGTGCAAACACCCCTCAGCTTAAACCTCACAGCTTAAACCTCACTGACAGCTTACACCTCACTTGAACCTTAAATCTCAATTACAGCTTAAGCCTCACTTACAGCACTGCAGTCACTTGCAAAATGAGCGTTTTAAAAGCATCAGGGGAGCTGTAAGAGGCCCTGCTTTATTCTGCTTTGGGGCAGAGCAGGAGTTCACTGGTTCATTTCCATCCCTTGGGTGGTGCAGGGGCAAACCCTTAAAGCCTCCCTACGACCTCGGCTAATGACACCCACAGAGGTTTTGCCATTTCCTGGTTTTACTGGGGCTGTGTTTGAGCAAATTGGAAAAAAAGCTCTTTTCTCCCTTCAGCCTCTGTGACCACAGCAGAGTATTTCAGCAGGAGCCAAACCTGTGGCCTTCAGATGGATACAGCTCCCAAAATTATCTGCAATGAACAAATCACAGAATCCCAGAGTGGGTTGGGGTGGAAGGGGCCTTAAAGCTCATCTCATTCCACTCTCAAATGGCAGGGACACCTCCCAGATTGCTCCAGGCCCCACCCAAAGTGGCCTTAGGCTCAGGTGAGATGGGTAAGGATGGTGAAACAGTGAGAACAAAGACACCTCTAAGAGCTGTCATCACCCTCTGCTACAGGAAAAGGTGCCAGAACTGCACCAGCACTGAGAAATTAAGCCCCAAATCCTGCAAAGTCTCTCAAGGAACATGACACGGGTGATGGCTTTCCTTGGCAGGAGTAAATGAAAAGCAAAGATTTACCACCACCTAGTGGGAGCCTCACCTAGCTGCAGAGCTTCTTGGTACCTCTTGGTGTCAAAGTAGAGAGAGACCAGCCTCGCCTGCAGGACAGAAAAGGAACTGCTGTGAGGAAACCAGAACAGATTTGTTTTGTAAAATGAAGTTTTGTATTGTTCTCTGCACAAACTTCACTACATTCATCTGTATTTGTCACATTGTGTGGTCCAGTTGTGCAAGGCCTCCTGCACAAGGAGTAAAACCCTGCATCTTTAAGGAGAAATTTCAGTGTAATTAATGCTCTCCCCTGACACAGAGCAATCTGAACAGCACACAAGTGATCTACTTTTAAAGGTATTAAATGTGACAAGGGGACGATGCTGCTCCACATGTTTGGGTGTGGCACCAACCTCCAGAGCCTGGCGAAGGAAAGTCCTCTTCTCTGATTTGGCCCATTCAATACACTCTAAACACAGGTCAACCTTCAAGGGAGCAGAAAGAAATAAGTCAATTCTAGATATTTTGTCAGTGCCCACCCCAAATGCCTCCCAATGACACCAGAGGTGTCACATTGAGGTATTTGGGATAGGCAGTAATGCTTTTCCAGAGTTTATACCCACAGTCATGGTGTATTTTCAATAAAGAAAAATAAGTTCCATGTGCTTTAGGGCCTAGATAGATCAAGCAATCTGAATAAAGAAGCAGAGGTGCTGGGCTCTGCTTTGGGGGCCTCATCCATCATTTCAAAGCACAGCAAAGAACTCACAATCTTCCAATCTTTTTCAGGCTGAGGCTCCCTTGATGGATAAAACAGAACTGCTCCACCTCAGGTATTATTGTTATCTCATCCAGCCAATATTACACATTAAGTCATCCTGTGGTGCCAGGCTCAGGAATAGCTCTTCCCAAAACCTCTGGATTGCAGCTCCACACTGCAGGCCTTGTCAGCTCCTCTTCACTGCTTATTAAACGTGAACATTTTATGAAAAGCCATTATGAAGTCTCAATTTATTACAGGGTGATAGCTGGAGCATTAGGAGCTGGAGAAATCTCCAATTTCACTGCTTTACTGGGCTCCTGGGAGCATTCTGGATGTGAGCTACCCTGAGGAAGCAGACAATCCTCAGAACATTTCTGAAAGGATTTGAGATTGCTGCATCAAGGACTTCACAGGTTGATGTCATCTTTCCTTAAGGTTTTGGGGTTGGCTTCAGAACATGCTCTAAAGTGACTATTTTGACTGACTTTTTATTATTTTCATCACCATTACTCCAACCTGTTCCTCCTCTGCAGCTGCATTTCAATGTTGTCCTTCACACTAAATTACCCTGAGAAAAGCCTGTAGCTGCTCATTTTCTCCTGACACTTTTGGGAGTTCTCCCTTTTCACCTGAACATCCCACCCCATTTCCCCTGACCTCATCTGTTAAAGAAAGAGGGGGGAAAAATTCTGCCACCATTCCTCACCCACAAGGACTGAGCAGCAAACAAGGGACATTGCCCGGGTAACCTGCACTAGAGGATGATAGTTCCAGTTTGGCTAATTTGTGCTAATTTGGCTAATGAGAATGTCACCTGTCCCTCAGCATGGCAGAGCCTCTCCAGCCTGCAATCTGCCAGTCCCAGAGCACAGGTTTCAGGTGGATTCTGTCCCTAACCTGCTGCTCAGACCCCTCCTGTGCCAGCACAGCCTGGAAGCACTGCCAAGGTGCTCCTGTCCTTATCCTGCTTCCAAAAAAAAAACAAAACTAGGGGAAAAAAAAATAAAAACTAAGACAAGTGTATCCTATGGAGCTGATGAGAATGGAGTGAATCCTAACTGGGCACTGTCTCAGGTTTTCTGCTGGGGGAGCTCATCCACTGAAGCAGCTGACACCTGGTAGCTGCCAAACTCTTTCCACTCCTGCTTCAAGAGTAACTTTTGTGTCTCTGTGCAGTGAAACACCCATCACAGGTGTGTCCACCTGCCATCCTGACCAGCTCCTGGACAGCCCTCCAGCAGTGGCTCCTCCAGTTCTCTGCCATCCCACACCACCTCCACCATTCCTGCTCCAAGCTCCCTGTGAACATATTCCCAACACTGCTCACACTGCAAAATACTCCCAGTGCTGCACCTACCATCACTGAGGTTGGAAAAGCCCTCCAAGATCAGAGTCCAACCATTCCCCCACCACTGCCAAGGCTACCACTGACCCACATCCCCAAGTGCCTCATCTACAGGGCTTTTAAGCCCTTCCAGGGACAGGGACTCCACCTCTGCCCTGGGCAGCTGTGCCAGGGCTGGACAACCCATTCAGTAAAGGAATTTTCCCTAATATCCAATCTAAACCTCCCATGGCACAACTTGAGGAAGCAACATGAATCTAAGACAAATGCCCATGGTGGGAATCACTCCTAAACTGCAGCAGGGAGAGACCTGCAGAAAAAACATGGTTATAAATTCAATTATCTGATGTTTTATTTATAAAATACATCCAAATGCATTAAAACTCTGCTTCCTGACATGAATAATTCTTCAGTGAGAAGCAAACTAGGTCAGATAATGGTGTTGCAGGCTTTTGAGGAACAGCCTGGTGCTGGAGCTGCAGCCTCACCTCCTGTCCTGTGGCTGCCTCCATGTCCAGGAAGAGGTCGAGCAGGGAGCGCACCAGGCGCGCGGCCTTGGCCTTGCTGATGGAGTTCAGGAAGGGCCTCACGTACTTCAGGAGTCCTCCCAGCTCTGCAAAAACCCCAAAACATCAGATGCACCCCCAGCCAAGAGCTGCACCCAGCTGGAGCAGGATTTGTCACAGCAAACGTTTCCCAGGTGGCTTTTCAGCATCACCCACAGAACAGAGTGACAAATGTCACCTGCAGGGAGCCCTGGAGCCAACAGGGACTGCCCAGGGACTGCCCAGGGACAGCCCAGGGACAGCCCAGGGACTGCCCAGGGACTGCCCAGGGACAGCCCAGGGACTGCCCAGGGACTGCCCAGGGACTGCAGCCTCACCCCAGCACTGCCTGCCACTGCAGCTCCCACTTCCCACCAGCTGTAACTGCCTCACCATCAAAATGTAAGGATCTGCTAAATGCTTGGAGATTTTTCTATAAAATCAGGGAGGGAGTTTATCATTTAGGTGTGTTTTTATTAAGTCACAGTTTCATGCTTTAATCTGCCCCACCTAGCCAAGCTCAGGATGCTGGATCCACATTGTGCTCCACCACTGGAAAATCATATCCCTTAACACTCCAACTCCACTTTTATCTGATCAGCTGTGACTTCACTTAACTACATTTCTGCTTCTAAGTCTCCTCATTAATTCACAGTTATAAAACCTGTCTTTATATGAGGTGGAAAAAGGAAATGTCTTTTTTTTATGGAGAAACACTGAAGTGTCATAGCCAGGGAGCAGAGGAATGTGGCAGTCATAGCACAGCAGCTCCAGCACTAAGGAATGCTGGACGTGGTGGAACTGCAGAGCACAAGTGAAAAGTCTCCTACAACAAACACCACGTGGTTTTGGGGAGGTCCTGGACAGGGCTGCTCCCAGTTTGGGAAGACGATCCTGCAGGGCCAGGGTTCAGTGCTGACTCATCAGCACCAGGTCTGCACACTGAAATCACAGCTCTCTGCCCCAGATTCCCAAGTCTCACCCAAATATCAGGTGGATCTCACACTACTGTGTTTACAAGGTTCCTCAGAAAAGCAAAATCAAAACAAAGCTGGGAATGACTAATTCAGAAATCTACACCAAACTGGTACTGAATCAAAACTAAAGTAAGAGATTAGTCTAATTTTATTTCAATTAGTATATGGAAGAGTATCAGGAGAATTTCAGTTTGGAAGGATTCCAATAAAAACAAATGTAAACAAGGGTTCCTCTGTGTTTCATTTAGCAGTAATGCTAAAGAATGCTAATGCTAATTGTTATAACAACATCTTATTAATATCTAAAAATTATTCTTCATATTTTTGATTTTTAACCTATTTACTTTAAGTTTAATCAAGCCTGATACACCTCATTTATCACACCCTTAATATGTAGAACTCACTTTTTCCAATCACTCATAGTGATCACAGAATCCCAAAATGTTTTGGGTGGGAAGGGACCTCAAAGCCCACCCAGTGCCACCCCTGCCATGGCAGGGACACCTCCCACTGTCCCAGGCTGCTCCAGCCCCAATGTCCAGCCTGGCCTTGGGCACTGCCAGGGATCCAGGGGCAGCCACAGCTGCTCTGGGCACCCTGTGCCAGGGCCTGCCCACCCTGCCAGGGAACAATTCCTAATTCCCAAGATCCCACCCAGCCCTGCCCTCTGGCAGTGGGGGCCATTCCCTGTGCCCTGTCCAAGTCCCTCTCCAGCTCCTGAAAGGTTTCTGAACATCCCAAAGTGCAGATTTAGGACAAACAGAACTTAACTCAAGTGTGATCCTCAGCTTTAATTCCCAAACTGCAGGGCAGGAGATCCTGACCCCAGCAAAGCACCTGGACTCAGTACCAGAACACCACAGGGTGCTCCGACTGCCACAGCTGCTTCCAGGAAAGTTTCATTTTCTCTCTGCTAGAGCATAAACAGGCAGCTTTTTCTACACTTGAGGTGCAGCTACTTCCACACCTCAGACTGCAACCTGCAGGCAGTTTTTACTTCACAAGGAACCTGCTGCTCCATGACTTTTCCCACACCACCCAGTTCTGGGGTTCATTTAATCTCCAGTACAAGTCCTGGATGCAAATCCCAATCATTTTAATCCAAGGCAAATGCTTTGGTCTCATACTCAGCAAACAAACAAGCACAACCAACCCAACACATCAGTTCTGCACAGAGCTCCTCTCCAGCATCTGGGAGCTGGGAAAGGTGGATCTAATTGAGGCTCTCCAAGATCCATCAGCTCCCAAGCACTGCCAGGAACCCTCCTCCTGTGCATCCCTGCCTCCACCAGCTCCTCAGGACCAGTGGGATCAGTGCCCAACACACTCTTTCCCACAGGAACTGCAGAACAAAGAAGGAAAACTCCAGTGGAACACACTGCACTGTTTATCATCCCACTGATGTACTCCAGAGCTGCCCCAGAACTCCCCAGAAAGCAGATCCCAAGTCAACAGCTGGAATGCAGCTGTGCATTCTGCAAACTCCACATTCAGCCAGGCAGGCTCAAAGTTCCCACAGAAATTTCTCTCTCCTACTAACGTAACCATCAACTATTTTTAGGATTTTATTTTTCTAAAGAAAATGCAATGCCTGGTAAAGGGGTGGGATTGACAGCTCTGCAGGAGTGATGAGCAGCAGCTCTGGAAAATGAAGCCTGCAGCTCATCCTCAGGGAAGTGCTTCCACCAGCTAACACTGCACATATCCAAATTCCCAATCCCAGTTATTCCAACACTACAGTTCTGTGAAATGCTATAAACATCTGGAACTGTCACTAAGAAAAGAAATCAATCTACAAGTTTATCTGCTTGATAAAGATGAAGGATTGAAGGGGGTCACTTGTATTATTGTTATTTTTGTAAACAAAGGCTGCAGTTCAGTTGTCAGAATCACAGAATGGTTTGGGTTGGGAGGGATCTTAAAGCCCATCCAGTGCCAGCCCTGCCAGGGACACCTTCCACTGTCCCAGGCTGCTCCAAGCTCTGTTCAATCTGGCCTTGGGCACTGCCAGGGATGGAACATCCATGGAATAACCTGTGCCAGGGCCTGCCTACCCTCCCAGGGAACAATTCCTTCCAATATCCACCTCCAGGGACAGCGCAGCCACCAACGCTTTGGGCACTGGACCCCCTCAAACCTGTCCAAGAAGTTCCACTGGCTAAAACCAAACCCTGTGCAGTGAAAGCCAGAGGATGAAATCCCAGTGTGTGTCCAGCACTGGGGGCTCTGGGAGCAGCTGTACCTGGTGATGGTGCTGCCCCTGACCTGGCACTCCTACCCAGAAAGCTGACAGGAGGGAAGGGCCAGAGCATTTCCCACAGCCCCTGCTCCAGCCTAAGCCAGGGCACCCTGTCCTTCATGCCCCAGCTCCACAACTCCAGAAAACACCTCCAGGTCCTGCTGATCTCCCTCTGAGCTGCACACACACAAATGGCTTCTGAATGGCACTAAGTTCATTTTCTTCCCTCCAGAACAACTCACTCTGCAGTTCAGTGGTACCTTTAATAGACCACAAATACATTCCATGTTTACCCCCCCACGGCCCTGAGTTTGATGAGTTAACAGTGTTACTTTCAGTTCCTCAGCCTTCCCCTTGAAAGAATATAAATCTATCAATCACCATCCTCTGGGAAAACCCTGGAGCTCTTTAACCTTGTGTCAAACTTCAGCTTAAACTCAACCCTGCCCCAAGCTCGGCAGAGCTGAGGAGGCCAGAAGAACTCTGCCCTCAGCTCTGCTCACCAGCAGCACATCCACACTGGCCTGGAGAGACTCTGCTTTCCCCCTTTTTACCCAAACACACACATCTCCTCTGCTGCAGGGCCCAGCCAAGTTTGGTGATCTCTGCTGAGCAAACACCAGGGTGCAAAGGGCACTGGCACAGCACAGACACCCACACTGAGCTCCTGACCTCAGCCAGGAAAGGGGCACTTGCACAGCAGCTTCCTCTGTCCTGCAGGAGCAGGAAAACCCTGGGCTGGAGGGGTTTGTTTTTCCCCTAAAAGCAGCCCCCAGCAGGAATCAGAGGTGGGCACCTGAGTGAGGTGACAAGAACAGCACCTTTGTTTCCAGCACTGTCTCAGGACCAGTCACGCTGTCCCCAGCTCTGTCCAAGTGCCACCCACAATGGGACCAGGGCTGGAATGCTCATTCCAGCACAGAGCAGTGACATGGCCCAGCCCAATAGGAGCTTCCCAAGCTCAGGGGGACACCAAGGGACATTTCACAATAGATACAAACTGTGACCTCAGCCGTGGCTGAGCCCTCAGGAATTTTCAGGGAGCTCCTCTGAAGTCAGGCCTGGTGTCCCTTCCAGTGGGACTGAACCTGCTGCTGGGTGCTTCCCCCACCCGTGCCAGACTCGCAAGGAAACATTTCCACTGCCAGGGCTGCAGCCCAAGCACAGAACACTCTGGGTATGGACACAGAGTGTCCTGAAATGCTCCAGGGGAAAGGCACAGCCCTAAACTGCTGAGTGCAAAACAACCAACTGCTGCCTTGAGCTCTCCAGGAAACAGGAGACAGCAACAGACTCAAAATCATCACTGAACAGAGAACTCAACTCCATCTCTGTCCCCTCACACGCTCACAATAGAGGGACTGTCCCCTCTAGAGCTGGACAGGGGCTGCTGATGTAATGGCCAGCAGATAAATCAATTGATTGTGAGAGGAGCTGCTGGTGAGAGAGTATTTTATGGGACAAACCTTCCCATTTGAAATCAACCAGGAGACACCTCTCATCTCAAACAGAACTTAGCAGAACTTCAGTCACCCATACTGAAACAGCCCCACGTCAAAGGCCACAGACTGAACTGTGGTGTGTTTGGAACACTGGGCCAAGCAACACCAGATTAATATATTTATGTTCTTTATTTGGTTTTTAGGTTCTGTCCTGTCTCTGAGAGAACATTTCCTGCCAAAAGCTTTTTTTCCAGCTATCCCACTAAGCAAGGAGACTAAATCCACTGGCTGCAGGATCTCCTGCCTGTTACCTCAATTCCTGATTTCAGGCTCACCTTCTGCCTGCCCAGTCTTGGCCAGCAGTGACCCCAGCTCCAGGATGCTCTGCTCTTTGACTTGCACTGCTTCCTCATCGTTTTCCTGGACATCACGTTTCACTGGGAAGAAAAAGAGCAGGAAAGTTGCCTTTAGTGGTGTTTCAGGTGGAAAACAATCCCTGCTGCTCAGCTCCTGGATGAGGGCCCCAAGCAGGACCTGCTCCAACAGGCAGCAGGGAGTTCAGCCTGGCCCAAGAGGTCTGAGAAGTTTAAATGCAGTGCAAGGAAGTTTGCAGTGCTCTGTCTGTGCTCCACAGGGGCCTTACCAGCCCACAGACCACCCTGCTCACTCCAGCTCCAGGTTTGAACAATCTCAGCTTGTCCGGCTGTGCAAGTGTCACTCAGAACCAGCACCACACACCAGAGCACACTGGAGCCAAATAAGAGACATTTAATGGCATTTCTGGGGTTGGATACTCCACTCTGGCATTGCTGCTTTGTGTATCAAGCTGAGATCCCGTGGATAAAGTGCAGCACAAGCAAAGTGAGGTGGGTACATCCCTTCCCACTGTGGTGTCACACCTGCTGCCAGTGCTGAGTCCTGGCAGTGCCACCACCTCTGCTCCAGGGAGTGACTCTGCTCTGAGGCAGATAAAGGGACAAGTGACAGCCAGCAGCACAACCCCAGCGTGCACAGCACCAGCTCCACGCCAGTTATTCACCACACAGTGCCCTTCCCTCCCTGCCACCACCCCAGCACAGGGTTCCAACCTCCACACAAACAGAGCCAAAATCCTGGCTCTAGGGAACTGCAGCTGTGGCTCTCACCCCCTGCAATTCCCTACCAAAAGTGAGGGAACCTTGCTCTAAAGAAGAAAAGCATCACAGCAACACTGTCTGTGCCACTCCTGAGGGCTGAGCCCCTGTGCCACACCAGGGGCTGAGTCCTGACTGAGCCCGACACTGAGAGCGGCACCTCCTGCTGAGCAACGAGCAAAACACTGCGGGACAAAAACAGCCCTGAGAGCCCTGGCAGCACCGCCAGGTCCTACGGGGACACTCGGAAAACTTCTCCCGACACAGCAGGGTGACAGCAGGTCACAGCATCTCCGCAGAGGTCACCGCACCGCACCAGAACCCAGGACTGCTGCTGTTCCCAGCAGCTCCGCGGGCCGCCCGCCCCAGCGAGGCGCGGTGCCCACAGCCCCTCCAAAGCACCGAGCGCTCCGCGGCAGCGCGGCCCGGGCTGGGGCACGGAGAAAAACGCCGAGGGAACTCCTGCAGCGAGGAGCGGAGCTCGGCCGCGGCACCGGGAAACCTCCCCGGCTCCGTGCGAGCCGGCAGCGGCGGAACGGAGCAAACAGCGCTGCCGGCGGAGCGCTCCCGGCCTAGGGCACGGCGGGACCGGGCCGTGACACCGCGCCCCAAGCCCGCCGCGAGCCGCCCCGACCCCAGAGCCGCGACAGCCGCGCTACCGGCACCGGCACGGCCCCGCACACGCCGATCGCGGATCCCGGACCGGCAGGCTCGTTCCAGCTGGACGGGGAGGAGCGGCCGGCCCGGCTCCGTGCTGCTCTAAGCGCTCCGCGGACACGCACCGGGCACCGGCACCGCCGCCGGGCTCCCGGAGCGCGGCCCCCGCTCCGCCCCGCACCGACGGCTCCTGCCGCCCGTCCCCCCACGCGCGGGGGCTGCCG